CTATCACGCCAAACAAACTTGTCCGTGTGACAAAACAGCGGCCGAATTCCATAACCAGTGCATAATACTGAGAGGGCGCAGATAAACATTTGACCGGCTTTATGAAGCAGTACTTTAAAACTTTTTAAATAAAGTGTTCCTTTTTGTTGGGACATAGTCTTTTGGCATTGGCACGTGTGACAATATTTGAAGGCAGTTTAGCTGGGCACGCGTTGAAAATTCCTTTATCCTCAATGTTTGCAACTGAGCAATTTTTACTCGTGTACTCAAAAACGAGGACGGATTTGACTAACTTTGAGTGACATCTAAACTCAGAACCCAGCGTTTGGTTTATCAGTGGTATTCTTGAAACGCTACTGAGAAGCAGAATCAGAATTGGTGGTATTTAAAGTGCCTTTTGGCAAACTTTTATGGACCCTTAGTTACCATTCAGGCTAAATAACAAGTCGTAGATTTCATGAAACAAATTTGTCGACTAGTAAGACTGCTCTTCATCAACGTTGTTGTGACCGCCGTTAGACAATCACAATATAGCCGAACTCTCACATCGTGAACTATTTTGGAAGCTCAGCTGTAGACTGCCCGAATGTTTATAGTTTGACCACCTTGACACCGCCCGCACATTCTGGTGGTTAGTTGAGGTAACCACACCTCACCCTGTTATTGGTGTTATTACATTCCACGCCTTTCAACCACTTATTTAACATGGGCAATATATTTTAGAATTCTGGAGTTCTGACATGGTCTGGCAAATTATCTTGCGCTTTTCTCAGTTCCGAAGAAACCAAGTCCACATCTGGAGAAATTCAAGTTGACATAGAGGGAAGCTTGAAACTGTCCGAGGTTGTACTGGTATCACCAATGCTGGTAAATTTCCCAGACACCGTCGTAGAGCAGTCCTCGACAATGGACGTGAAGGTCGCCAATCGCGGCTTATCGGGAACCATATGGGTTGTGAAGTCTTCCAACGCCACAACAGGTAAGAAGCGAGGCCTTTCGGAGGGGTGCACTCCTTTTGAGTAGTATTTGTGAGTAGCTTCCGTTCACCCATCATCTTAAAAGTTAAAAGTCGAAATTAACTCATACCCCATTTGGCATTTCTAGGGTTCATATGGAACTTTTTAAGGTCTCACGACACTGCAACTATGCAGGCTCTGCCAAGCGTTTCACACAGCTTTACCTGTCTTCTGA